TAATAATATACTCTATAAGATTGTCTGCTTCGCCTAACCACAGAAATTTAACTTCCTGCTACCTTAACCACAAAGTATAATCAAATGCTAAAAAAAAAAGTATAAAAGTTGTACTCAAATCACAATAAAATGGAACAGTGTCACACTGCCTCTGAGTTATGTAATTGACTGTCTCCCGCGCCAATGCCTTGCCCACCTTCGGGGCCCCCTGGATCCTGTCGTGGCTGGACCACGGCAGTCCTGCAAGCTCCATTCATGTTAAGTGACCTATGTGGGTATGCGCCATTTTTAAAATCTTTTATACTATAATTTTACTGTACCTTTTCTATGTTTAAATATGTTTAGATACACAAATACAATTGTGTTACAATTGCCTACTGTATTCAGTGCAATAACATCCTGTGCAGGCTTATCGCCAAGGAGCAATAGGCTGTACCATATAGCCTACGAGTGTAGTAGGCTATACCATCTACGTTTGTGTAAGTGCACTCTGATGTTTGCACAACAATGAATTCGCCTAAGGATGCATTTCTTAGAATTATCCCCATCGTTTAGCAGAGCTTGACTATACCAAGTGCATAAAAAGTGCTCAGAAATAGACTGTTAAAAAGCAAGTCCCTATAAAGTAACCTGGTCTTGATTTAATTTTCTTGCCAATTTTAAAGTTACTTTCTGCAAACCAGAACCTTCCGAGCTCCTGCCCAGAGTCTTGGTGTATTACCAGTCTACAAGGATCTCTTGATACTTCCAAGTTATTTGCAAACAGAAAAGCAAAACATGACTATTTTCCAAACACATATTTATCTATTTAGACAGTTGTTAGTATAGTATTCAAAAGATGTCTGAGAATAATGTGGCATGACTAAGAATAAAGAAGGAAAGATGTCAAACTGAACCGATACTCAGTATGTACCTTCTTTTCAGGCTCACACAGTACAACAGTACAATTTTTCTTAGTATTCAAGGTCATCTCGACCTCATTTAATCTTTAACTGTATATCATAAATACATATTTTTCTTGGAAAACAATTTCCAGGCTATACAAAGAATTGTCAAACTCAGTCTATCAGAGCTTTAGAGTTATCAGGGAAGATGAAAAACAGTATAAATAAAATAACATTTCTATAGGCTGCACTCTAATTACACAGCAAGAGAAGAGAAATTCTTTCATTGATATAATGGCTATCTTACACTTATTTTTATTTATTTTTGAGAATTACAAAGAGAACTATCAGGACTTCGAAAAGGTTTTGAAGAGATAATTTTAAATTATGAAAAATCTTGGAAGCATATCATATACATGTATGATACACATGATCTCTTAAGAATTTTCTTTAGGATGAGGATGACAAACTATACTCTGTCCTCCGAATCTAGCCCATCACCTGTTTTTGTATTCCCCGAGCTAAGAATTTTTAAAAATATTTTAAGTGATTTAAGAAAAAATCAAAAGAAGAATATTTTGATATGTGAAAATTATCTTATATCCAAATTTCAGTGTATATAAAATTTTATTGGAGCACAGCCCACCCATTTGGATTGGATTCATTCATGCTATAATGGCAAAGTTAAGGAGTTGTGCAAAACATAAAGTATTTACTCTCTGCCCCTTTCCAGAGGAAGTTTGCCAACATTTGCTTTAAGAATTTTCCCCTAAAGAAACACTGAGGCCTTCCCTAAACTGAAGACTTCTTCAGAGAGCTTTCTTGTGTCAGTGATACATGTTTAAAAAAAAGAAGAAAAGAAGATGCACAACTTTAGTAAAGTTAATACAGTTGCCATATAATAAAATAAAATAACAGACATGCCTTTGTTAGATTTAGGACACTTCTTTTCTCACTTTATGTCAGTGTAGCATAATTATTATTAAGAACATGTGCTTTGGGATCATTCTTTTTCCTGAATCTTGATTAGCTTTCTGTCACCTTGGGCTAGTTACTTAACCTCCTGTAAGCCTCAGATTTCCTATAAAAACAGTAATAATGGTACCAACCTCATAAAATTATAGTGGCATTAAGTGGGGTGATTTTTCTAACAGGAATTATTAACCTTGGTACCTGGTACATGTTAGATGTGCAATAAATTTTAAAAAATTATCATCATCATCTGAAAATGTCACTTTCTGTTGGTTTCCTCCTAGTACTTCCTATAACTTCTGCTTTGACAAGAAAATCTGCAAAATCCTGCTAGGTAATTTCACAAAGCAAGAGTCCCTCTCTGTATTTATCTGCAGAAAAACAGTCCTAGGTGCATGAATCCAAGCATGTACTTGACAGGAAAGTGGGAAAACGGAAGCCTAGGATGTCTAGACCCCAAATCACGGTTTTGGAAGACTGGTCAGCAGTCTTAAGCTTAAGCTTACAAGTGGGAAGTTAGGATTTTCCATGTTAGACTCCACTCTAACTTTTTCTATGGAATGTCCACAGTTCTATGACAGGCTGTTGATGAAAGCTTTCTGATTTAGTAGCTAGTCTTTTTTTTTTTTTTTTGCGTGGATATAGCTTTGGTCATTTTATCCTATTTCATGTTAGGTTAACACTGCAATTTTGTTTTTATTACTTGATGTCTTAGCTTATGTTTCCAGCCAGAAACATTCTTAGAAAATCTTGAGGGTATAATGATGCAATTCTTGGAAACTTAGTGATTTCTTTTCTACTAGGTTTGCTGCTATCTCCTGCCTGAGCTTGCTCTGCCCCTAGAATCATGATGACTCTGCATTAACACTGAGGAACCAGTGCCCAGCAAATACATGATTCCTCAGTTATGATGCTACCTCCCTTTTCTTTCCTCATCTCTAGATAGATTATGACCAGCCTTAGCAGAGGTGGTCTCTTTTGCTCACCAGAGCTGGTCTGGAGTCACTTGTTACAAGGAATAAGGAGAACCTTCTTTAGTTGGCCCTTACAGAATGAATCTCTGCCTAAAGAGAGCTAACAGAGGAGAAAAATCCCCTAAGACAAACAACTCTTTTATTGCCCCAACCCCAAAAATCATTTACAGAAATATCAGAATTCAGAAGGCAGTAGGTATCTCCACAAAACAGATGAGAAATAGAACTTTCATATGTTCATTTCCTTTAAAAAAAATCACATAAGACAGTTTGTACAAATGTCACTTGTTTTTACCTCCTGTGTCTTGTGTCTTGATGTACCCCTCCAGATTTTATCCTTGTTCCTCGATTATGGTTGAACAATTATGGTTAATCAAGTTTAGCCACTCAAATGAAGAACAAAATATTTCAGCATTCTTAAAGACTCTAGTTGGAATCATGGTTAACAAGACAAATACAAATGCCCATACATCAGCCTGGTGTATGAGGATAAAACCCCAAATTGTGACAGACACATGCGTGCCTGAGTGGAATGGGGTGAGGTGCATGTGGCCTCTGCCTACTGGTAGGAGTAGCTCTCATCATCGTATTCCAGCTCATACTCATCATCATCATCCAAAAGCCCATACTTAAATTTCCGATAGACAGTTCCATCTTGGCCCATGTAGACGATGTCATCATCATCATCCTCATCATAGTCACGGTCCCTGTACTCAATCACCTGATCCTCTTCAAAGCTGGTGCTCTCACGGTGGCTGTTCTTATAGGAGGAATAAGACCTGCTAGGGTCAGCCAGCTTTTTATAGCCAGCCTCCTCTGCTGGCTGGGATCGGCCCCATGATTTCCTCCAGACGATCACAGCTGCTCCAAGCAGAAGCACCAGCATAATGGAGGAGATGATGAACAAGGCTGTCTTGGAATGCTCAGGGGCAGACCCAATCTCACTTGCTCGAAGGATGCACTCATCTATTGGAAGAGAACCCCAAAAGAAGAGGGTCAAAGGGAAGGATGAAAGAGAAGAGAGGGAATGGAGAAAATTAGTTTCCGAGGTTAAGAACTTCACCTCTATTTTTTAAAATCTAAAATGGTGGAATCTCTCTCTCTCTGATTTTCTTAAAAGGCACACCACTCTTCAGAATTGCCCTGTGTACCCCCATGACAGTCCCAGTCTATGTCAGATGATGCTATCAAACCCTTCTAGGATGCAGGGCAATTTGAAATTCAAATGGAGCCTCCTCATTTTCATACCTTAGGGATCAGTTGCCCTGTCCAATCTTACCAATGAATTCTTTGATTTCTCTTCTGAGAAAAATATTCCATCTTGGGCCAAGCTTCACTCATTGCTAAATAACTCTGACTTTTTCTAAGACTTAGTGCTCTCCCCAGCTACTCTTAAACCTGGTCCAACATGATCGTGCCACTATTCAAGGGCAGGAGCAGATTATTTATAAAACCATTGACTCTTATGGTTGTGCGGGGCCTTCGAAATCACTTAGGCCAATCTGTTGCTTGACAGCTGAAGAAACTGAGGCCCATAGAGAAGAAGTAAATGGTCACATTGTCCGAGCTGAGAGCTTGTATGTAGAGGAGTCAGAATTCAAACCCAGGAATCCTAACTTCATGCTGTAGTCTGGAGATGTTGGGTTAAAAATGCTCCAACAACTGTTTTTTAACTTCTTGGCATTTTGTGGCCCTAATCTGGCAGGAAAAGAAATGCTACCTTTAAATATCTTCTATCATAATTAAGATTTCTGAAGTTGAAAGCTCTGTTCCATGTCACCTTAATTGAGAACATGGAGTAACTGAAACTGTCACAGAAGGAAAGGTTAAATCATAGCTTTAACAATGAGCCCATTTTTATTCCTTTTCATTCATTTAGGTGGTATGGTTTGGGTAAGTTATCAAATTTTTTCCTATTATTTAACTCATCAAATGGTAGAGTAAAAGAAAATATGAAAGAACCAGAGGGAAAAGAAAACTAGTAGGCTATGTTGGATGTACAAGTTGAAATACACACTAAGTTTTCTATAAATATTTTTTGAACCACTTGGGTATGCCCCCAGGATTTTTTTTAAATGAGAAATTCTAGGTACATTGTACATACTAGCTTAATGATATAATACTGCTGCCAATTATTTTAAGGGCAATTATTGTTGCTTATTAGATATTAGCTGATTACAGCCAATTTATTACCACTGTCTCTTTTTGCTAGTGATAAACAAGTTTTCTATTTTATTGTAACTTTCATTCTCATGGGATTTTGCCCATTAAGCAAAATTTCTTCCAAAGTAATAGCGCTATCATTATGGCTTTCATCATTTGCAATATCAGCATAGAATTTTTCCCTGGAGGAAATACTGAAGCACCAGAGGGATGCATAAGCAATTGGTGTATGGTATTTGGGAGATAAATACTGCCTAAGGCAGGAGAATCAATAAAAGACCCTTCAAGGTTGTTTCAATTACTAGTGTGCTGTATGCAATCTTGTCTTAACTATTCTACAATCTTAGATCTGCAAAGTTAAGGTCAGCCTCTATTATCTGGTTTCTTTAAAGGGGCCAATGTCTCAGTAAAGAATGATAGGCAATCAAGAGTGTTTAGATTTTTGCAGAGTGGCCACAACTGGATCTTTAAGAGCCACAAAAGTCTCAAGAAAGCTGACTAAATCGTTTTTAGTTGAAACAGGATTGCAGAAACTCTGCACCCAACATGCACACACTTCTGGTTTCATTTAAAGCCATTGATGTAATGAGGATTATTATTCTTAACTGACACAGCATGGATATTAGGCCATCAGCCCCTGAAGGTGGATGTGTAAGAGGACCTAGGGAAATCAGCTGCTTGTAGGGGTGAGAAAGCTGAAAGAAGGATATAATTAGTTTTTGGAAAGATGCTATTTAGAATTTAGTTGAAAAGGCTGATAAAAAATATATATATAACAGAAATGGCTAGTAGCATTTTTCGGTCTGGGATTTACTTCACTTATAAATGGACATGCTTCCATCAATATGACATCTATTTTTGTCAGGCCATGATACATCTGAACCCCCAAGGAAATGATCTGCTTCTTAAGAATTTTCTTTTTCTTTTTCTTTTTTTTAGAAGAAATCATTCCATTTGGTATTTTTTTAAGTTTGTGTCCAATGAGGATCAAGTACACTCACATGGGTGGAGTTGCAGGTTGGAGACAGTTGGGGGACTGGGAATTGGTATTAAAAAAAAGTGTTTTTTCTTAGCCTTCAATGAAAATTCATTTCTAAAATGCCTTAAGACTCTAATGGGAAGCCTAGATTTGGGCTGATTTCCACAGAATGATTCTTCAAGATAGCATTAGAATAAGCTTTCTTGACAGTTGATTCTTTTCCTTTTTTCTCAGGAGGAAAGAATAAGAAAGGAATAAAATAAACTTATAAAGACGAAATCCTAGAACTACTTGAGCTCTAATGCTGAAGGCAGCACAATAGTGGAAAGAATTTCAGTTTTGCAGTCCAGAGGACCCATATTCTAATTCTAGATGAGCCTCTTAACATTGATGTAAACTTGGGCATGCTAATCAAACCCTTTGAGCCCAGTCTCCTCATCTGTAAAATTGGATTAATAACATCTACTTATATGAGATGATGGACAGAAAGTTTCAAGCACAGTAGACACATAGCAGACACTAAATAAAAAGGTAGCCATATTGATTCTCTGGAATCTCCCATCCTCCTCTCCTGTGTGCTCTGGTCAGCTTCCCGAAGACATGCCCTTCCTCCGCAGGCTGATCTTCCTCTTTTCTTACCTGTAGTGTCCTGGCAGTCACAGCACTCCTGGGCATCAGTGGGATTGGAAACGTTGCAACAGTGCAGGCAGCGGCTGTCATCCATGTGCAGCAGCAGGTTGGCGGGGCACACAGTACAGTTTTTGGGCCCAGGTCCTTTGCATTCTATACAGCTCTCGTAGCATTTTTCACATTTAAATTTCTCACCCTGTTGAGAACAATTGGGAGATTCCTTTTGAGTGAGGAAGGATTAACAAACACTGGAGTTCCATGAACGATGAATGCAGAATTAATTCTGAGGCCTTCGTTACTTGACTTCCCCATTATTTCTCTCAGATCATCTCAGTTCTTTGACTGAAATTAAAGTTACAGGTGGGTAGCACCATTAATCCATAATGCAATGGTAGGAGGTTTTGAAATATTAAACCTAAACTATAGCGAGCATAAGACTTTTAGGACTTTTTCACTTTGCCTAGAATGACATGCAGAAATTAGTTCATTTCCCTCTGTGAAAATGACAGAAGGCACACTATGCCCAGCTTTTAGTACCTCTCCTACTCTGTATTCCCCGACAAGACAGTCTGAGGTGCAGATTTCTCCCACTAGGTGGTAACTCCACACACAGGATAAGCATTTCAGTGCTCCTTTTCCTGAAAGAAAAAAAAAAAATGATTCTAAGTTATGAGACTGACCTTAGAGTTCAACCTCTGTCTTGGTTCCATAACATTTAGGAGCAAGGAATATGTCAAGTAAAATGAAGTAGAATAATAAAGTGATTGAGGATATGAAAAAAAACATCTACAGGACACCAAATAAAGACCTAGAAATTATCCAATTAGTTCAGTCAATGTAAACTTTCAGTTTGGTAATTGAGGATTTGGAGATGACAGATCTTTCACTAGAGTAAGAGGATTTTCAGAATGAGAAATCATGTAGAAAGTTTATAAAACCTTCATTTGTCATTCTGCTTATTGTTTAACTCGTATAGAGGATGAAAATGATACCAGCTGATTGGGGGGCAGGGTCCCAGAACTTGACGAGTAAATTATAATTAGGCAGCTCTTAATTGAGAAACACCAAACCTGGAACTTAAAATACTAGGGCTAAAGGGCTTTAATGAACCATTTTTTCCAGTGGTTCTTAATTTTGGGGGTGGTGGTTATGATAGTTTCCTTTGAAATTTTCTTGAGAACTATAAACTCTCTTCTCAGAAATTTGACATCCTATTTGTTCATTATTTTTTAAATAAATGAAAACTAAGGCCCACCTATATGAAGTCATGCATTCAAGGTTACATAGGTAATGGTTGAGTCATGATTCAAATTCAGGTTTGTTGACTTATATATAGTCCAGCGCTCTTTCTATCACACTGTCTGCCTTAACATGAACCACCAAGTAGAGGAGGTCTGGACCTTCATCCAGATTATGGTTCATGTAGAGGTAATCCCTCTCTCTCCTAATTCAGAGACCCAGGAATGAGTGACCCAAACATTTCCTTCTATGCAGATATCAAGAGATAACTTTTGAAAAAAGTTCGGAAACAGGAGACCTGATTTCATTCCTTCAGGAAGGCCCTGGCATTTTTCTGCTGAGAACTTCAAAACAGAGACACAGAGACGACAGACATGGATTGTGCCTGGTATTGTGAATTGGAAATTGTGTAGGTCTTCCCATCAGAAGAATATTGTAAAGAGTGGTTAGTTGAACTTGAACTAGAACCGTGAGTCCTGTCCTTCACATTCACTATGGAGTTAAATCAACTTTTCATATCTGATCTTTGAGCTCAATCATTTATAATGTTTCTAAGGAAAAAAGAATTCTGAGCTATAAACATCTTAGAGAATAAACTTTATTACTCAACTGCTTCTTAGATTGGGGGCTGCCTGTAGTGATATAAATTCAAAGCCATTCTATTTTTACTTTACTTTTGGCTTCATACAGAATTCCTTACATGTCTGTAACATAATTGTGGGCTCTGATAAAAGAATCAATCTTCCCCTATTTCCTTCCATTCCACTTACATTTTTCTAAAACATAACTTAGATGTCTTACTCCAGTTTTAAAATACAAAAGTGTGGGGTTTGTTTTGGGTTTTGTTTTTCTTTAAGCGTAGGGGAAAGTAAAAGGGGGGAGGGGGAGGCAGTAAATGTGTGTCTTAAGGTTGGTTACATTTTTCTAAAGAGCAGCAGCAATTTGGCTGAGGCCCAGATCCTGGGCAAGCTCCAAAGGTACTACCTGTCACCTTAGGTAACAAATCAGTAACTCCATTTACATCTTCTACATTGATTTATTGCAAAACCTCCACACTTAAGGCACCCTGAGTCTTTTTGTAAGACAGTTCGTTAGTTTCCAGAATGTTTTCTCTTGTTTTCAAGTTTAACGCCCTACATTTATCATTGTTTCTAAGGATCTGCAGGAGCCTTGGGACCTATAAAGACAGCTTTGATGTTTTCTTAAAATTCAGAACAGCTCACTATCTGTTATCCCTTGGACTGACCCCCATGGGACGAATTCACCAGTGCAGAGCAATCTTTGTCGGCTGTTCACGGCATCATTCACACAAAAAGAGAGGCAGCTCAGGACGGTTAGAAGGTATTGGCTACCCAGCCTGGGTTTTTATTTCAAACAATTTTGCAAGTAATACAGATAAAAAGTTAATGTGTGAAGGCAAGAAATGAGCTAATTATGGAGCAACCAGTTGCAACAAAGATACATATATATTAGGCAGTAGTGTGCTATCCCCTGACTCCCCTCTCCTGTACCTCAGTACTTTTAAGCATTTTTTTAAAAACACCCTAATATTATAGGGTAGTCAAATGTGAATGAAATACAATCTAGTTAATTACTTATGTAGGGTGCTAAATTTTCCTTGTATCTTTCATGTATCCTCAGTTCTTAGTGTGATGGCTAGTGTTTTAAGAACGAAAGAATTCATACTTTTTTTTTTCCAGCCGGTATACAGCCCAAGAGAAAACCTATTCCTAAATTTCTTAATCTATAAATTGCAAAACCAGATGGCAGTACAAAGATGTACTAACCATCAAAAGACATGTGTGTATGGTGAATAAAGGATGGCAGAAGAAATGAGTGTCAAAAATAGAAAGATTCAACTAGGCACGTTCAAAGTTCAAGTGAAATATAGGAGGGGGAGGCACAAACACTCAAGATGGCTTCACGATTCACCTAAATATGTCCAGTCATCCCTTGAATACAGTCTCAGGGAGATTGTGTCGATAATTTCTTTGAGACTTTATTTTTTAGAGCAGTTTTAAATTTACAACAAAATTGAATGGAAAGTACAGAGATTTCCCATCTACCTCCTGCCCCAACCCATGCATAGCCTCCCCTATTATCAATATCTCCCACAAAGTGACACATTTGTTACAGTTGATGAATCTACAGTGACATCATACACCAAAAGTCTATAGTTTATTTTACATTAGGGTTCATTCTCAGTGTGTTGTACAGTCTATAAATTTGGACAATTGTATAATGACATGTATCCATCATCACAGTATTATGTAGAGTATTTTCACTGCTCTAAAAATGCTCTGTGTTCTGCCTATTCATTCTCCTCATCCCAATCCCTAGAAACCACGGATATTTTTATTGTCTCCACAGTTTTGCTTTTTTTCAGAATGTTGTATAGGTGGAATCATATAGTATGTAGCCTTTACAGATTGGCTTTTTTTCCCTCACTTAATATAATGCATTTAAGTTTCCTCCACAACATTTTCTGGCTTGATAGTTTGTATCTCTTCAGGGCTGAATACTATTCTATTGTCTGGATATATGGATGAATTTTTGAGATTGGAAAACCATCATCCTTAATCTACCCAGGAAATCTCAAACCCAATTAAAGAAACCTATAGTTTTTAAAACTGTGCTTAAAATATAATAATTTCTCTGATCCCCACAGAAATTTTAAAAAGCTGGTGTTGTCCTGATTTGATTGCCTGATGTTAAGAGACATTAACGATGGTTGCCTTCTGTTAATTAGAAACCAAGTGTCCCCCTGGATCTCTCCACTAGCCAGGGGCATTCACTGCACTAGGGGTTTGGGATTTTGGTTTTCAGATTTAGCAGATCAAAATACAGCATTTTATCTGGCAATCCTAGTTGGAATAAAAGCCCCACACATCTAATGGTGGTATCAGAGATATCTTCAACTTTTCAAAAAATCTAATAGAAAGTTAATATTTACCATGATATAGCCCATGACAATGCCAACTTTCCACCATCCTCCCACCATACCCCCAATTTAATGTGTTCTCTCAGATGTTCTTATTCTGATTAGAAGTTTTAAACAGCAACTTTAGAGGGGAGGAGGAAGGAGATAGGGGGAGAGAGAGAGAGAGAGAGAACACAAACTCATTTAATGCTGTTTGTTTGAAAGGGTAATTCTTTCAAAGGTTGGAGTCAATTGTAAATGAGTAAAGAGTGGGAACCACCATATGGTAAAGTTTTCTGAGAGTTGCTTCAAGGACTGTCTGGATGTGGTGGGGTGGGGCAAATTTTTATGTTGATTATATGTTCAAATGATAATATTTTGCATATATTTGTTAAATAAAATATATTAAAATTAATTTTACCTGTTTATTTTTTAATGTGACTACTACAAATTTAAAATTATATGTATGGCTTGCATTATATTTCTAATGAATATTGCTGAAACACCATTCTGTGAGACGCATAAAAGAAATTCTAGAACTGGTACGAATAGCACGTTACCATTCCCAGGTTGGTTTGGTTTGTCCACTAGTCCAAGCACTTTCTAGCTAAGAGTAATTTAATATTTATATTACTCAGAGTCACTCTAACACAATAAAAATTTGTTTTTGAGCCCTCTTTCCAAGGTTTGTTTTTCTTCTTCTTGGTCTTAAGACTTACTTCTTTTAGTTATGGTTGCAACCAGCTGTGCCTCTGGCCGGGTGTTTTAGAGCAGGAAGAAGCGGCTCCCACTCTGAAGATCAACACCAACCACAACGGGCGGGTGCCTCAGCCCTGCTCAGTATCTCTGCAGTTAGGTAGATGGTCTGACTGCAGGTTCACCCCAGCCAGCAGCAACTTCTACTCTTCCAGTTTTATTTTTTCTTGTAGCTTTTTCTGCTCTTCTGATTGTAGCTTCTCGAGATTTTTCTGATTCCGAAGGAGTGCACAGTCCCTCTGTTCTGTTCCCTCTCGCGAAGCTTTTCTCTTTTTCTTTTCTCTCAAATTCTAGTTCTTTGTTTCCTTTCCTCTGCTCTTTGCCTCTCTTCTGCCTCTTCTAGCGTTTTTTGTTCTCTCTGCTGTTCCAGCCTCCGAAGTTTCTGTTCCAGCTCTTAAAGTTTCTAGCTCTCGAGCTGCCGTTTCTTGATGCGTCACTCAGGGGGTTTGGTTAATCAAAAGAAGCCGTGATGTTACCGGCCACCCCCTCACCTTCGCAGCCGCGCTTTCTCCCGCGCAGGCGCTTTCGGCTGGCGCGAAGCGCACGAACTCGCGGTCCTGGGTGTACATTCTGAAGGTCGACTGTTCCGTGACACTGAACGCATGGAAGTTCCGGCCTGTCATCTCCCAGTGGGGGTCCAGCTTGGGGATGTCCACATTTGCATCTCCTCAAACTTCCAGAACCTCCTTGCTGGGCTTCTCCGAGCCCGACTCCTTCGGGGTGAAGCATTTTCAAGGCCGCTTCTCCGGGTGAATCGTATTGGCCGCTCTTCTGGCAGCGTTTTGTTCAAGTCCTTGCGTCGTGGAACAGGAACCCCAGTCATGGCGCGTAGGGAAACCAATTTTGTGCTTGGTGGTGCGCACCTTGAGGATGGTCTTGAGGTTGGAGCAGGCCAGGAAAGACTTGACCAGACTCTTCTCCACCTCACCCTCAAAGTGGATGAAGGCCTCTGTGCTCCTGCAATCCAGAGGGTGGAGGACGAGGGTGGTTCTACATGCCCTTCACCTTTTTATCACCTCCCAGTTGGAGATGGGCTTCACGGCTACTTCAGTTGCGGGAGGACCACACTGATGGTCATTTTTGTGATGGGCCTGAGGTGAAGGGCATACAGATAGCAGAGTTGTACTTCTTGAGTCGGGTAGTGGACTATGGTACCCGCTGCAAAGCCAAGACTTTGTGTCAGCGTGGGCCTCTTCCTCCACCAAAGGCTGCTGCTGCTCTGGCTGGAGCTCGCTGCTGTCCACCCATGACTCCAGCAGGTGTGACCTCCCTGCCTGGCATGGCCACTGTCCCCCTCCTTTTGCCCCTGTGACAATGCTAAGTGCTAGAGCTACAAAGGTGAGTAAGACATTAATTAATTTATGCCTTTGAGGACCTCAGTCTACAGTAAGGGAGAGACAAAGAATAAGTAAACAATTAGAAAATATGCCCTCTGTGCGTCAGAGCCCTTGAATGTCTTGTTTACAGTTGTACCAGCATTGTCCGGGCCATAGTGCTGGATAAATATTTGTTGAATAGTAAGTAGATGAATGAATGCAGAGTACTAAAGGAACACAGAATGGAGGCATTACGTTTTTAGAGGAAATGCTGGTTATAAAATTTATGTAGAAAGAGGGCTAGGAGGAGCCAAG